TTGTTGTTGGTTAACAAGATTTTGCTCTACCCATATACTTTCTTACACAAAAATGACAAAACAAAATAACATCTAATATAGAAATAATATTTTTCTAGTTGAAAAGTACCCATTAGTAAAAAAAAATACTTTATTTATTTTATCATGAATACTGAATAATAATGTATATATTTATATTTATATAAATACACTTAATAAACAATGGGTGATAAGGCCCCATATATGGGCCATGTTACAGATTTGATGTTAAAAATTTTAATGTTATTATATTCATAGACGGACCTACATGAGATTTAGGGGGCCGTGGGCCCCCCTCAATTTTTTTTTGAAAATCTTTATATATATATATATATGCAAATAAAAAAATAATATAAAAAATGAATAAAAATATAAAAAAATATGTAATATATATAAATATATAAAACTTATTTTCAATGCTATTTTAATTTAAAGTAATAATATTATTTACTTAAAAAGTATACTAACAATCGTTATATTTTACATTTCTGGATAAATTTTGAAAATATTTATAATAATTTATTCTTTCGGCCTTTTAATTGTAAATCAATTTAATGATTTATAAAACCTAAAATGTTAGTTGGATTGTTAGATTTTTTAACGTTGATCGATTGTATATTGAAATGTTGATTTTTTTACTTTATTTTTTTTGGGTTAATTGCATAAAAAACCACCACTTTTTGTTTAATTGTAAATAAAACTCAATCTTTTCAATTTGGCAAAAAAAGTACCTAACTTTTATTAAGTGTTGCAATTTTGTCTCGTCCGCCGGACCGCCGCCGCCAAAACCGCCACCCGCCGCCGCCAACTTTGCCGGATATTGGAAATTCTTATATGATCTTGTAGCTCTCCTCCGTGCCAACAACATATCCGAGTTTCACGAAAAAATTTCGACGATAAGACGTCCAATTTTCTGGTCAAAGGTCGTAGAATTGAATGTATAATATAAATATAAATATAAATCTTTATATAAATGTATAATGGACGATGTAAATTATTTAAATTATTTAAATGTGTAATATAAATTATAAATTATAATATAAATGTATAATATAAATATAAATTATTTACTCTATATAAATGTATAATATAAATATAAATTATTTAACTTACGTATGAATCTTTATATTGATGACATAAATACTAATGGACGATGTAATTTTATAATAGAAGGACTATATATTTAATTAATGAAAAAATATTACAATTTTTTATTATTGTTATAGAAATTGTGCGATTCTTTAAGTTTTTAGTTATTACATTCGTGGCAATTAACTAATGATATAGAAAATTCTCTTCATAAGACAAAAATATATATATATA